ATGAGAATCCAAATTAAAATCCCACGTGTGATCGAGAATTTATTTTTCAACATATTTGAGACTTAATTAAGTTTTAATCGGAGATAAAAGCAAGAAATAAATATTTTATTTTAAATTGAGAATGTTATATAATATTATAAAAATGAGGAGGGATCCGTTTATTATAAACTTATTCTACATTAAATTTTAATGATCTAATCGTTAAATTTAAAGTTTTTAATGCATAGATCAAGTTTACAAATTTTAAAATAAATAAAAAATTATTTAATACTTCATTTCATTAATTCAAATTAAAAAATAATTATAAAATCATTTTATAATTGATTTGAATTAATGAAATGAAGTATCAAATAGTTTTTTTTTAATTTGCAGATTTGATTTATGCATTAAGAACTTTAAATTCAACGGTTAGATCGTTAAAATTTGATGTAGAACATGATTTATTGAACGGAATAAGTCTAATAAGTCTAATCATTGAAGAAATGGATCCCTCCTCTATAAAAATAAACTAAATGTTAACACATTAAATATATTTTGTGTTGTCCTTCTCCGATGAGGTCAATGAATCGATTCTAGCCACCACCACTTACGAATCTCCCAATGTTGTGTGTCCTTCAACTTCATCTCAGTCCCATACATATGCTTGTGTTTTCTTGTGTTATCTGTTTGCTTTATGGCTGTGACTACATGATTGTATTTTGTTGTTGAAATTTTTGGGATGAAGGAATGGGGTATTGGTGCACACATTCGGTGGTTTTACTAGTGCCGTGTTTGATTAAATGCCTGAATGTTTTTTTTGTGATTTTAGTGATTGTTGCATACTACAATGAAATTGTTATATAATAATACACATTTTATAGTAACATAATAAGTATCATTAAAAATTATTTTTACCTATATTACAGATATAATATATATTGGTATATTATTAAAAAGTGTATATATTATAATAACACATAATATATGTTTTTAAATTACATTTAAAATTAATACTAAAATTATATGTCAAATAAATTTATATTTGTATATTTTTTTATTTATAATAACATTTTTTTTATGTTATTGTATGTAACATTTTTTTTAGTGTTGGTAATTAATTTTGATGACTTAATGCACATTTTTTCAAGTAAGGTGGTTTAGGGTTTTGTTTCTAAATTGTATTTAGCATTCTTTAAATTTGTTTCTTCTATTATTTGGTTTCTTCACTAAGAGCAAGTTTGGATAAACATAACTTTATGAGGAACAAGAGAAGCTAATGAGAGAGTAGAGCTGCTAGGATGAGTTGTTATAAAAATTGAGTTAATTAGTGTAAATATATCATGTTTGCTATTTTGAGTTGACGCCTTGGTGTGATCTGCGAAAAAATATATACAGTTGTAGGAGAATTAGTCATGTGAGTTAAGAATGAATTAGGCTCAATTGATATGTATGATGAATCAAACATTTAACTGTCAATCATCGTTCACATAATTCTTATCTCAAAATCGTGGCATTCATTTCAGTTTGGTGTTGATTATCAGGCTAAAAAATCATTGAAATTATACACACATATATATTTCAATGATATTGTGAAAAGAGTCTCTAATTAATGGCAATGCCATTTTCCTTTTGAAGCATGAACGAATTTATTATTCTATACTTGTGATAATTATTAATGTATATGATCAGGATATAACACACGGGAAGAGCTCCTTGAATTTCTTTTTGGAACTTCTACGACCTTAACCATCTGGATGCCTCTAAAGCAGTTTTTCTAAAGCCGTGATTTTCAATGAGACTTGTGACAAGTACGTTGTGGAGGAGAGAATTTCCTAGCTGCAAATGTAGATAATTGGAATTCAAATTTTCAATTCTTATCTCCATTAACTAACTTTTAGAAGTCATTTTTGTTCAATTAATTTGAATCTTATAGTAGTAAATGGTTGCTATGTGCATTGTTAGGATAGATGGTGTGGGTAGGGACGAATCATTGTAAAATGAGAGTTGCATTTTTCTCATTAGAAATATTTCTTTTATCCTCTTAGTTAAATAAGTCATTTATTTATTTTGCATGTGCCCAGGCTGGGTATGTCGAATTCACAGGCAATGAAATTTGGTTTTTATTTCTTCGGAAATATGGCATGCGCTTTGGGGAGAAAAGATTTCATTTTCATTTCACTCTTCAGTTATTAGATAACATGATTCGAACCAAATTACATTATTTTACATTAAATTTGTTATTATTTCACTCTGCTTTACTTCTTGGAATGCATTTTTCTATATAGATTAGAACATTAAAAAAAAAATTAAAGAGAATATTTTAAAAATAAACATTTTCTAATGGTTGTGCTCACATTCATAATAGAACCCATAATAGAATGTGAGTATTAATGTGATTAAAATATTACATTTAATTAATATACATACTATGAATGATATTGACTACCTAACATAAAAAATGAACTTTTTATATCGTGTATTGACCTATTAAGAAAAAAAAAATTGTATATTTATATTGTATTTGTCGTCTATAACTTTAGCAAAAGGTATATAAAATTAAGAATATAATTAGTACAAAATAGGGTTGAAATCCACATGTTTTTTTAAAGATGAAATCCACATTTTTAACATTTTATAATAATATAAGAAATGAAACCTTATATATTAAATACAAACTTTTATCTTAAGGGGAATATTTTTAGGAAGTTTTTTTAACAAGAAAGGTTTTAGGAATTTTTTTAACTTTTTATCTAATTTGATTTTTATTTATCATAAGTATTTATAAATTAAATTTTTATATATTTAAAATAAATTATCAATGAATAAAAAATATTTTGTTACAATATAAATTATTTATCATAAATCTAAAATGTAATTTATATGTTTAAAAAT